TTTTCTGGACCTTTTGAAACCCAAGGCTCTGGGGAGGGTGAGGAAGTTGGCAGTCTTTACGCCCAATGTTTTTCTTACATAATCAACCTCCCAAACAATAGAGGTGGACTCATGGGGCCTTCAAGAAAGTTCCCGAGTTGAGGGGAAAGGAAGCGCCTTAAAGGGTGATCAAAATCAATAAAACGGGGCAAATGTCAGAGAAGGGACCACCGGACTAGGAATTCCTCGAGGGCTCCAGTGCTGTGCGCGAATCCTGAAACTCGACGGGGATCGATGACTTGTTTGATGCGGAGGTGAAACTGGGAAGGGATCACCACGGAAGAGGCCAACCCCAGCCTCCAGCCTCACTCCCAGACAAGCCAAAGCTGCCTTCATTCCCTGGGTGGGGGTCCGGGGCTGTGGCCGACACTGAACTTCCATGTTCAACTTGATTGCGGCACCAGGAAGGTCAGTGAGAGAATGCCTGGAACCCACCAGCAAGAAGAGGAAGGTGTCAGAATCCCAGCACGGCCCACCCTTTCTTAGCAGCACCACTGGGGTCTTCCTGGAGGTTCTCAGTGGAGTTCTGGCAGCTTGAGTCATCAGCTTGGCAGAGGGAAGGTGACCGTGTGAGGACACCCGTCGAGTAACTGGGAGCCCAAAGGAGGACGCTGGTGTCGTCGGAGGATTATTTTGTGAATCTGCGGGACAGGCGTGAGCTGCCCTGGTCTGAGATCATTTGTCCAAATTGCACAAACAAAGCCAGCGTCTGCAGGGGACGAGGAAGCGGACTCTCCATACTGAGCCCTTTGTCCCGAGATCGGATGCTCACCACGCTACCAGGTTCCTTCCCCAAAACGTCCTGCTGCTTCTACCCTTTGGAATGGCCCTCATTCCTTCCTTCCCAAGGTGGCCCAAGTTATTTCCTTAATAAGCGGAGGTGTGCTTAGAACCACTGTTCGTGGAGTGCCCACGACGCACCAGGCTTTCAGGGCTCACAGGGAAACGGGTGAGTAGACAGACGACCATAGCCAAGTGCGATCCCAGGCGGGCACCAGCCCCGCCTCCTCTCCAGGAGGGGACAGCCCAAGAGAGCTTTCTGGAAAAGCGAAGAGAGCGCCGTGATTAAAACGGAGAAGGCAGAGTAGGTGAGGGGTCCCAGCCGAGGAGGTCCTTAGAATTAGCCGCCTCTAAATGTCCCTCTCACATCCATGTTCAAAGAAGGCTGCTCTGACACTTCTGGAAGGTTCCAAGAAGGTGGAGCTGATGGTAGAGATGGGGGAAACAGCGGGCCCACCCACTTCTCTTTAAGCAGAGCTCCATGCGGGATCAGGGTTTAAAATGAGCCGGGTTCGGTGGCTCAGCCTGTCATCCCGCGCCTTTGGGAGGCTGAGGTGAGTGAATTGCCTGAGCCCGCGGGTTCGAGACCCGCCTGGGCAGCGAGACCTCATCTCTACAATAAATCAAAAAATCAGCCGGGCGTGGTAGCGCATGCCTGTAATTCCGGCTATTTGGAAGGGTGAGGCAGAAGCATCACCAGAGCCCAGCAGGTCGAGGCTGCAGTGGCCGGGAGCGGCCACTGCACTCCAGTCTGGGCGACAGAGTGAGACTCCAACTCAAAAAAAAAAAAATGTATCCTTGTAGAACGGTTCCCACAGATTCGAAAAAAGGAAAAACCTATAAAATAAAAGATGAATTTCTGGACTGGGCCTTCGAGGGCCCCAGGCTGTGAGCAGCCTCGCTTTCAGTTGGAAGGAAGCACACAGCCGGGCGTGGTGGTTCATGCCTGCAATCCCAGCACTTTGGGAAGCCGAGGCAGGAGGATGGCATGAGTCCAGGAGTTCAAGGTCAGTTGGAAGAATGCCCTGCTAGACTAAAAAGACCTGGAGATGGAGCCGAGGTGGGCAGGTCTTCAGTTAACACTCTGAGTCAGCTGGCCCCCACCGTTTTCCTCGAGGTGCCCAGGTTTCTTACAACATGGTGCCGACCCACAGGAACCTCACGCCAGACTGACGCCCGATCGAGGTCCTTCCCCTCTGCAGCTGCCTTCCCGTCGGTCCCCAGCCCCTCTTCTCATCCACCTCCAGCACATCTGGGCTGGAATACAGCGGGAGGCCCTGCAGCAGAGACAGCCATGCAGTCCTTCTCTGTCCCCAAGTTGAGGAGAAAAAAGCAAACAGAAGACCGAGCCTGGGACTGGACTGCAACCAGGGAGGCAGGAAGGACAGCCTGGAACGTATCCTGGAAACCAAACTCATTCTCCAAAGATGAGCCCAGAGGCTGTGGGCGGCCCTCAGGGGCAATGCTGGCATTTGAAATGGGCCAGCATAACTGACCTTGACCGGGACCCTACTCTTGGCTCTGAACAGGCGAGTCTTCCGCCCAAGTCTCCGTTTTCTGACCCAAGAGCGGGGTGGAATGTCTTCTACCTCAGTTAGAAGAGGCAATGCACTGACCCACAAGCTCGTTAACCAGAGAAAAGCTGTTTGTTGAGCACTTACTGACTGCCAGACCCAGAGGACGCAGAGCCATCAAAGAGGGTCTAGCTGGTATGACCCCTTCCTCTCCTTTTTTCTCTCCCCCATCATTCCAGAGCAGAGGTCCTTGACTCCGACTGCCCTAGAAAACTCCACCCCCAAGCCAGCCCAGGGAGCTTTGAAACATACAGACCCCTCGCCTGTCCCAGATCTCAAGAGACTGGGCATGGACATGCACATTTCAGACAAGGTTCCCACCACATGTTCGTGCAATCTGCGTAAGTTTTGCAAAAAGCGTCTGTAGACACTTTCACAGGCCTGGGTAGGTTTGGGACAAAGAGCCCCAGACACTGCTTGTCAAGGAAACGCTGTGACAGTGGCTTTTGTGGGCAAACACCCATGTGCTGTTTCCCACATGCTGGGCATTGCTCTCGGTTTTCCTGGATTAACTCAAGTAATACAGATTGTGTCTGTCACTTTCATTTTGCAGGAAAGGAAACTGAGGCACAGAGCTCCTGACTGCCTCTTGTACCTTTCCTTCTTGCCTCATTTCTTCAGGCACCCGGACACATCGTCACAGAAAGGAACCGAGGCTCTGAAGTCCACAGGTCCAGGCCCAAGGTCTGGCTCCCTCATGTCAGCCACATGGCTGCAGGCAAGTCCTTAGACCCTCCTGGCCTCAGTGTCTTCATCCACTCCATGGAGCCGATCCGGCCCAGGCAGAGCTCTCGCAAGGGTTAAAGCAGTTGAAGAGAGATAGCGACTGATAAGGAGGGAGAGAGATACCCATCCCTCCCCGGCCTTCCCGAATCAGGCCTGCACCCTGCGAGAATCTTCTGTGCTGAGTCATCACGCTGACTTTCTCTCTGAGGCAGGGCCTCTGAGTCACATCTTGGATGAGGGGCTCTGGACTTGCGTCCCAAGTAAGAATTACAGCTTCTGTCGACCAGCAAAACACAGCACGATCTTTCTTCCAGGTCCAGGCTGAGGCAAGCTCAGGGCGGCAGGTTTTAAAGTCTCCCTGGGAGCCCCCAGCGCTGTTCAGATCTGCCATCCATCTTGTAGGGGAGAGCCCAATTTAGTCAAAGACCACTTGGGGGCCAGGGGGCTGTGGTTCTTGATCCCTTTCTCATTAAGACTGATTTTGTTAATCTCTCAAGGACACTTTGTTTACGCTTTTGAAAAAATCACCCACATTCTGCCTCAAATGTTTCCTCCCCAGAAACTCCACAGCAGAAAGGCAAAAATCCTGCCGGGAACCCTCGCCATGACTCCAGTCCTAACCAGGAGACCTGGCAGAGGGGCCCAAGAGGGAGTTCTAGTCCCAGCTGAGCCTTCCACATCCCTTCCCATCTCAGGGTCTCAGTTTCCATCTGTGAAATGGGAAGGGGTTGGACCAGGTCCTGTGTGAGTTGTTTTTTGTTGTTGTTGTTTTAATTCCATTCCAAATCATCCAACCAATGGCGACAATCCTGGATTTGCCTGCTACCCTGATAGAATTCCCTCGGGAGAGGAGACCCAAGGATGCCTGAAAGCTGGATCCCATCACCTCCACCCACACATGGTCAATGGCCTCCTCGGGACTCCACCCACTGGATCACAGGGAAATGGGCTAAAGCCATAAGGCCATTCCATGATTTCCATGCAGAGGCCGGGCGTGGGGGCTCAGGCCTGCAATCCCAGCACTTGTGGAGGTTGAGGCGAGAGGACTGCTTGAGTCCAGGAGTTGGAGACCAGCTTGGGCCACATAGGGAGACCCCGTGTCTATTCTTAAAAATGCAGTTGCCTCCATGTGCATAAAGTCCTCCAAGGTGCCAGGCCCTGGGCCGGGTGCTAGGTTCAAGGGTGAGGCAAAGTCCTCTTCCTCAACCCCTGGTGGGAAACGGCCTCACAAAGCTAAGAGAGGCACAGGTCAGGGGAACAACTCAGGTGTCCCACCCGTAAGCACAACCTCCCTCCCTCACACTTTCTCTGACCTCCCCCTGCCACCTAGACTGGGGCTAATTCTGGCCCTGCACATAACACATATACGTCTGGTCTACACCTTCACCAGGCTACCTCTCCCCCCAGAAGGCAAGCCCCTCGAAGCTAGGGGGGTTCCTTCTCTATGCCTTACTTCACTTACATTCTCTGAATCTCAGTGGGGACTCCAGAATTTCTCTACAGCAGGAGGCTGGGTCGGACAGTTTGCCTCGAAACTGCATTTTTGCAGCAGGAACAGATCCTTTGAAGCAACTTAGGAGAACGTTAGGTATTGCGGACCGGCATTGTAGGATGGCTAAAGCCTTCCTGCCTGGCCACCGGCTGACCTCTGAATTTGGGGTCTTCCCCAGTAACTTAAAGGGACCCACTTTCAGCACCCAGGACGTCTGCCAGGAAGGGCTGTCCTTGGGGACAAATAACCTGGGCGCTCCCTCCCCCACCGGACCCGCTGCCACCGGCCACTTCCCACTTCCAAGCCACAGGGAGTGACATTCAGGACCCCCAGAGACAGCGGAGAGAGGCGACAGGCGGGGGAGTGGTGGTGGGGGGGAAGGAACCCACCCGCTAAATCCCAGTTATGGCTACTAATTTGACAGAAGCCCGCAGCACTTCTCCCCCCACGACCGGCGCATTCCACAAGCCCGGCCCGAATCTCCACCCCAGGCTGAATCAGAGACCGCGGCGGGTCCCCCAGGAGCGTCGGAGCAACTCCAGCTGTTCTTCCCCCTGGAGGGCGGAGAGGCGGGTCCCGGAGACAGCGAGGGAAGGAAAGCGGGGGAGGCTGGGCGGAGGCGAACAGGACGCCGCTCCCAGCGCCAGCCAGCTCGGGGGCCGCCAGATGCCCGCGCGACCCTCCCTCCCGGGCCACCTCTCCACGCCGGCACTGCGCCCGCGCCGGGGCGCTCGCGGGCTCTCGCTCCGGCGTCTGTGTCGTCCGCTCCGCGGCCACCCCGGCCCTCCCCCGGCACACACACCCGCCGCCCGGGCTTGGGAGCTGGATCCGCACCGGCCTCTGGGACGCCGGGCTGCACACCCGCTCG